TATCTTGCTTGTGGTGATAGTTTCCTGAGCATGAAAACTCATAAATCAAACACTTTTAATATGCGTAGTTTGTTGTATGTCAATTATACCTCAATAAAGCCATTTTTAAGGTGAAATAAAAATCTGAAAAACCTGAAAGAATTCATCGCCAGCAAACCTCCACTACAAGAAATGTTACAGGAAGTTCTCTAAGCAGAAAGAAAACATCGGTTACAAAATGAGAACTGCTCAGGGTTACTTAGTCTTTCTTCCTCTCTTCCTCCCTCCCTCTCTCCTTCCTTACCTTATTTATTTATTTATTTATTCATTCATTCATTCATTCATTCATTTTTACATCTACAGCACCTGGTTTTCCTAAGTGGTCTCCCATCCAAGTACTAACCAGGCCCGACCCTGCTTAGCTTCTGAGATCAGACAGGATCAAGCTTGTTCGGGGTGGCATGGCTGTAGACTAGCTTTTCTTATTGATATTGATTTTCATTGTAAAATTTCCAGGTTTGGAGCCTGGAAATTTTAAATAATACAGCAATAAGCAACTGAAATAACACTGAATATACATTTAATCAAAAAGTTTTCCCTTCACCATTTTTTTCTGACATTATTACCATGGTTGTATAGTGTTGGATGATAAGAAAAAGTATGAAGAATGATTTGCTATTTTAGTTTTTAATACATCAGCTAAAATTAAACCAGACTAAAGATGTTTGGAAAATATCACATAAGAGAAGTCTGTTTCTTACCATCCTAAGTATGGTTTTGTTACATTTTGGCATTCAATCTGGCCCCCTATGAACACATCAGAGTCTATAATGCGAGTAAGGAAGTTCAACCTTCCTAGGATTCAAAAACACTCCATACTCTTTATGGTAAAGAATGCTTATATTCATATTCAATTTCGCTGAATCTCACTTACTGAAACCAACAGGAAATGAATTAAAGAACTATATCCAAATAATACCTTCTCCTACTCTCCGAAAATCATGTACATTTTCAACTTTTTTTCCCTCACATATGCTATGGGTGAATGAATAAAAAAGGTACAATATTTTTGGAGGTCATTTTGGTACCACCTATCATCAAGGACACATTTCATTTCAGGGTATTTACCTTACGGAAAATACAATACAGGTGCCCCAAAAAATATATGCTCAAAAACAGTCTCTGAATCAATATTTTTGATAGTTAGACTGCAAACAATCCAAATATTCATCAAAAAGGAACTGGTTAAATAAATTAGGGTATGACCATGTTATATAATACATGACATTCAAGAGGAGCAAGATAAATCTACACGGACTGATGTGTAAAAATATCTGCGACACATTAAGTGAAAAAGCAGGTTTAAATAACAGCTTGTACAATATCAGTCTATTTATAAGAAAGAAAAAATTGTTACCCTGTCCCTTCTAGTTGTATACTCACAGAAAAAGACATCATCAATTTGTTTACAGCAGCTATTTCTAGGGATCTGAGGATTCCTGAAGATACTTTTTCCTTCAAACAAATCAATATTTTTATAACAAAAACCTGTACTATTCTTAATAAAAAAAAACTTTAATAAGAAACAAAATATCCAAAGGCTACTTTCTAGTAAAAGAGAAATGACAGAAAAGAAACACAGTTAAATTTAAACCAGGTAATCAGATTCTGAATAAATTAGAAATTTATAAAATTAGAAATTTAGAAAATACTTTTAGGTTGTAAATACCAAAAGTATAAAGAAAAACAGTCACAATTAAAACATGATGAATTAAAAAGTCACATTTATCATTCTCTGCCTAGCATATGAGAAAGGGGGTATGATTGTTAGAACATTTCTATTCATCCTAAAATCTTTAGTTACATTAAGCAAACCAGTTTTTCCACAAGCGAATCAAAACAAATGAGTAAAACTGGTTTTGAACACAAGGAAAAAGGGCGGTAGTCACGAAATCTGTTTAAAGGAATGAAGTAAGCTCATAATTTTTATTTGCTCTAACATAAAATCCCATAATTAAATGTTTAGCTTCTAGAACAGCATTTCTCATAAACTAGAGAAATAAAATTATAGTTCTGTCTTGCATTGATCCTAGAGAAAATATTTTCTCTTGATAAGGAAGTCCTAATGCCTTTATGGCTAAAAATGAAGGTGACAAAATTACAACTGAAAAATAATTGCAAGGAATTTAAAAATAATTACAACTATCTCTCTATGTCTAAAATTAAGAAAAGACCGGTAACAATTAAAAAGGGTAAGAAGGATCACATGGGAATCAATAGATCTTAATGGAAAGTTTAATCTTTTACTTGCATGAGGCAAAGGCTACAGTTTTGCTTTCCCTAGAAAATTAGGACACTTAGTAGCTATTTAGAGAGACAGAACTATGAATAGCATTATAAAAGGATTAGACCGTTTCATCAGATAATTTACTACCTGAATCTGTTAATTAAAATATGCTATTGCTGAAGAAAAATAGAATGAACCAAAACTCCCCATGCTTAAATCTTCAATAACAGACATAAAACTAATCTGAGAAAAGGCTTGCTACTAGCCTTTGTACAATTCCCAATATTTTTTGAGTATACTATTATTGAGTTCTGCTCTAGGCATTGGTGGTCCATGGTGAAAGACAAGACTTTTGCTCTCAAGCTTACATTCCATCATACAAATAAGAGCCAATGTGAATAGAGGTAAAAGTCTTCTTGGAGGACATGACATTTAAGACCTGAATGACAAGAGATAGCCATGTGACAATCTGGGGACAGAACTCTCCAGGCAAAGATAATTCAAAGTATAATGGTACTATAATATTTTTAAATGGACTGTCTCTAAACCAATTTCTTTTAATAAAATGCACTATCTAGTGATTCTTATGTGCACTACAGTTTGAAAACCACTGATTACAAAAACCTTAAATAGCAAATAAATAGCATGAAATGATCAGAACAGGATTAAAATGAAAATAACATTGGCTCATGATAAGATTCAGTTTATTGATGCCAACTATATTCTATGCACTCTGCTAAATTATACAGTCTCATTTTTAGGCTGAAGACATACTATAAGATATCCACACCATTTATAATAATATGTAAGCTAACCTTGCGATACAGTAGGTCAAAAAGTAGTTGAATAGATGAAGATACTCAGTCTTACTCTTAAATAATGCAAAAGTTAAAATACCAAGCTAGCATTTCACTTATTAGATTTCAGAAAATGTCAAGGACTCACAATATCTGAGAGGCTGATAAGGGCAATATAGTTGTGCCATAAATTGGTTTAACTTTTTTTGAAAGCAAATTATCACTAGCTACCAAATTTACAATGTGCATATTCTGCAAATTTACTAAACAGAATCCCACACAATAGCACAAAATTACATAAAAAATGTTCATTATATACTGCTCATAGTAGCAAAAAACTGGAAAAAGTCCAAATGTACATCAATAAGGGATTAAATAAATAAATCATGAAATATTTACAATATGGAATACTATGCAGTGTTATAAAGGTGATGATGCAAACTGATGCACACTGAAATAAAAATTGTCCAATACACAATATAAAAGGAAAATATTGCTTAACGGTTTATATACAATTCTTTGTGTAAAAAGAAATGTGCTTATAAATAGCATACACAAACAAGAATGTTTGTATATGTACTGAAAATACCCAGAATGTATAAATTTTTACCAGTGGTTTCCTCTTAGGACTGTAATTAGTGAGGGAGGAGAAGAGAAAGAACAAAAGACTTCTTTTTAAATTTCATGGACTATTTCCCCCTGCCCCCACCCCCCGCCCCGCCGCCACACACAGTGAACATAGATTACTTTAGAGAAACTTTAAAAAATGACTTTAAAAAATGAAAATAGATTTAATTTACCTATTGCTTAGAGCTGGGATAGTATCTTTCCAGGGCTCTTATATCAGAGAACATAGAAATGGCCCCCATATTGAGCTAAATATTATAACAACATTCCTTAAAATGAAATTCCATTCATATGACAATAAAAAACCATTATACAAAACTAGTATATTTAGGGTAACTTTTAACTACACTGACATTCCACCGTGTAAAATAAAGTCTAATGTGGTCTGCAAACTCTTCAGGAATCGAATCCTATGCTTCTCAACCTTCAGTATTCATGCAACTCACCTGTAGACCCTGATAAACTAGAGATTCTAATTCAGCAGTCTGTGATGGGCCTGAGAGTACCCTTTCTATTAAGTTCCACAGACCACACTTTGAGTGGGAAGGATCCAGGCCAAATTCATACCTCACCACTCCCCATACTTCAGATTTAGTGAATTACTGTTCTTCATACCACTGTGCCTTTTTTATATCTTATTCTTCATCGTAAATGGTTTTCCCCTCACCTCTTCCACTTCAAAAACTTTTACTCTTTGTTATAGGTTTAGTCCAAATATCACAGATATTTCAGGCATACATAGTTGCTGCTCCTTTTGTATTCCAAGGCTTCTATGCATTAATGTTTAACTTACCTCATTTGTTATTCACGTTTGTCTCTCTATGAGATTGTGAGCTTGAGGACAGAAAATACCTATCCTTAGCACACAGATAGTCAATAAATGTTTTCTGAATACAACTCACTAAGGTATGGAGTTTTCGCCGCCATCTTTGAAACAGTGTTTGTCACAATTACTTTTATTTCATAATATTTTTTAAAAGTAATATTCAGTAAATTACTATCAAATTACTGAAAGTCTCTTAAAATATAAGACATATTCAAAATTAAAGTAAAATATTACACTATGATGAGACGTTTACTATTGCTGGAAAAAAGTCATTTGATTTCACTATTTTAGGGTAAAAAGGACAAAACAGAGATTGCGCTCTTTGGTACTCTTTCAATTAAATTCTTAAAGAAAAACAAGAATGACATTAAATTTCTAATATACCTTTTGCCCCTTAATTAGAAACTTTATGTTTTAAACACAAATGACAGAATAGTATCCTAAATCAAATGCTTACACAGGCAGCCCTCTCTTTACCACTCACCTTCCTCATCTATCCATTTCATAGTGAAAAGCTGTTCATTGTCAAAAGAACACATGTCTCGAACCTCACCGCAAAGGCCCTCAAAGGAGATTGAAGGTTCAAAATGTGTTATCATGATATCCCTGAAAAAGAAAGAGAATTTTAAGTTTGACAATGATTAAAACTAATAACACTCTACACATTACCGAACGCCTGACAATATGATGGACTTCAGCTATTCTGTGTGTGCATCAACTGTTTCTTCCAGTAAACTATCACTATAAAGTAAAAAATAAAATATCGGTATTAAGTAATGCTTTAAAAACTAGTGAATTTCTGAGACACCTTAATTTAATCTCTCTCACTCAAGAAATCCACCCTAATTCCTCTAAGAGATGGTAGGTAGTCCCATCTTTGCTTTAATATTAGTTCTCAGAAGATCACTCTTTTGTAAGGCACTGCACTCTTTCAATGAATATCACTATTATTGATAAGCTCTGCCTCATATTTAATGGAAAACTGTTCCAATCATTACTTCCAGATCTCCCCTCATCTAAAAGTCTACCTTTTGTCCAAGAAATGGCCCTTTAATAATTTGACAAAGATCTGTCATGTCTTCTTCCTCAGCCTTAACTTCCACAGATTAGCCATCCATCAGAATGTCAACCGCTTTGTACGGAATTGTTTTTAGATTTCACACCTTAATTTTTACCCTTTTCCAAAATAATTCCCATTTGCCAAAATTGGTTTTAAATATGATTCATACCCAAAAAACATAAGACTAGACATAAATGTGTAAGCAACAGTATTTAAACAAGTCCAACTAGCAGCTAGCTATTTATTCACTATAAAATTTAAAATTTCAACAAAATGTTTTAGAGCAGAAGCCTGGGGTGTCCTCCAAGGAGCTATAAGAAGACTCCCTATGATCTAATCACACAGTAGCCAGCCACAGTCATCCTTCCAAAGATAAGTCAAATGAATGACTAATTTATATAATGATCTCTATGTGTCAGACTCTGTTCTAAGGGTTTTACAAAATCAACGCAATTTACAACTTTCCCATTTTAAACTTTTCAAATGTCTTTTGTCTCTCAAGCAGAGTAAAATCCCAAGTCCCTAGCAGTCTACAAGGCCCTGTGTACCGGCCCTGGCTACCTCTGCGACCTACCTGTTCTACTACCAGAAAGACAAACCTATGTTTCTAGTAGACCACCTATCCTTGCTAGAATGTAAACTTGGTGAAAGTGGAGATTTTGTTTTGTTCATTTTATTCCTAGTGGCCAATGCAGTGCCTAGCACGCAATGGGTACAGGATAAATATTTGTTGAAGGAAAGAAATTATACCGAGTTAGGAACTATGAACAAACATGGGTTAGTTGGAACATAGAGCAGGAAATAAATTAAAATTTTTAGTCATCTGCAAAAAAAGTCACATGTGCAGTCTTAGGGGCTATTAAAGGTAAGCAGAGAGCCAAGCATAGAAATTGAATGGCTTTTTCTTGATAATCATTCTCTTCCTAAGCATCTCATAGATATTTCTGCTCCTAGCTCTTAGAACCTTCTTGCTTGGCTTTCATAATAGTATGTTTCCCTGACTCTTTCTACTATTCTGAACACTTAATTCTCTTTTTGTCTTCAATCACAAGACATTC